AGAGAAGGTTTGTGGAGTATAATTCAAAACCCACCAGAGGTAGATGCTTGGGATCCGGAGGATGAAGACGATGCCCAGAAAATACAAGAATATAAACTGAAGAATGAGCAAGCTCTCTGTATAATAGGACTGACACTCTGTGACCAGCAGCTTGTCCATATTCATGGAGAAGAAACAGCTGCAAAATGTTGGGAGAATTTAAAGAAGATTTATGTTCGAGACAGTGTAGGAGCACATATAAATCTTACACGGAAGCTGTTCAGAACACATCTTCAAAAGAATGGAGACATGTTGACTCATATAAACACTATGAAGAGGATTTTTCAGGAACTGCATGAAAAAGAACTTATCTTCACTGAACTACATCAGGTTTATATAATTTTGTCTTCGTTAGATGAGAGCTATGATGACTATGTAACTTCACTGGAAGTACTGCCAAAAGATAACCTCACATTAACTGACATTACTGGCAGATTAATTGAAGAAGCCAGAAGAAGGCTTAAAAGGGATCAACTGAGAAGGAAACAACCACAAGAAGAGAAATTATCTTCGACAGCCTACACAATTAGGAAATGTTTTAATTGTGGAAGAAAAGGACATTTGGCTAGATTCTGCAAGAAAGAAAAATGCCACAATGCCAGCCAGAATGCAAAAAGGCATCAAAAGGATAAAAAATGCTTAGAGTTAGCCATGTATAGCAACAAACTGTGAACAATAATAATTTTTGGGTTGTAGATAGTGGAGCATCGCACTGCATAACGAAAGATAAGAAAAGATTTATTAAGATGTCCAAGAGTTCACAGCAGATATCATTAGCTAATGGCTGGAAAATGAAAGCAAAAGGTGAAGGTATTGCACATTGTTCTTGCATAAAAGAAAATGTAAAAATATTATACGTACCACAACTTAAGTTTAATTTGCTTTCGGTTAGAGTTTTGATTAAACTAGGTTATATAGTTACCTTTAGGGGAGAAAACTGCATAATAGAAAAGGAAGGTAAAAAAGTGACTGCAACTTTAAAAGGTGAATTGTATGTGTTAAATGATAATCAATTAGAGGTGGCTAACACTGTGTATAATAACGTTAAACCTCATGATGAATGCATACATTTGTTACACAGACGTTTAGGGCATATAAATTTTAAAATGCTCAAGCAAAGGGTTGAACTGTCTAAGGGTATAAAACTGAAGCCTTGCAGTAAGTATTTGCACTGCAATGCTTGCAGTCAAGAAAAAAGCAAGGTAATACCAGCAAATAGAATTAATGGATTTAAAACTAAAGAGCCTCTAGAGGTCATATTTGCTGATATTATAGGTCCTAAAAAACCAAGTGTGGGAGGTGCTCGTTATATATTAAGTATAATGGATCATTATTTTAGATATGGTTTCTGTTATTTAATGAAGAGTAAAACGGAAACATATCAGAATTTCTTTAATTGGTTGAAGTATGCAGAAAGAAAAACTAAAAGGAAACTAGTAACTCTTGTAACTGATAATGGTATGGAATTTATAAATAATAAATTCCAAAATAGACTGAAGATGGCAGGTGTAGAACATAAAAAGTCTGCACCATATAAGCCACAACATAATTCCTTTATAGAAAGACGAGGCCAAACAGTACAGGCAATGGCTTGTACTATGTTGTCGGATTCAGGATTACCTGAAACTCTGTGGGGAGAAGCAATAATGTGTGGTAATTACATATAGAATAATGTTGTTAACTCAACAACAGGTGAATTACCATTCACACGGTGGCATGGTAGAAAACCTGACCTAAGCTACATGCACACATTTGGAGTACCAGCATGGGTGCATATTCCTACACAACTGAGACATAAGGGGCAGCATAGGACTAAAAGATTATTTTTTGTAGGTTATGAATCTAATCACAAATCATACAGATTCTGGGAAAAAGGTACATCTAGAGTTTACTGTAGTGCTAGTGCACAATTCCTTGAACATGTAGGATGGGAAAAACTGGAGCGAGGTTCAAGTAAGGATGTAATCATAGAAACCTACAAAAGACCAAACCACCATATCAGTAATAAGAAAAGTCCAATTAAAGAGGAAGTACAGGAAGAGCATATAGGACCAGAACAGGAAGAAATAGGTGAACAGGAAGAAATAGATAACCAGGAACAGGTAGTACATGAAAGTCCAGCTGTAAGCCCTGTAATACCTAGAGGTTCAACACATGAAACCAGACCACCTGACAGGTACCAAGCAAGTGTAGTTTGCCAAGTTAGTAAAGTTCCAACTACTGTTGAAGAACTTAGAATGTATCCTGCAAAGGATCAAGAAAATTGGCATAGAGCGATGGAGAAGGAACTAAATTCATTAAAACAAATGGAAGTTTATGAAAATGTTAAATTACCTCCAGGTGAAAAGTCCATTGGCTGTAAATGGATATTTAAATTAAAAACAGGTAAAAATGGGACTGTTACCCATAAGGCTAGGTTGGTAGCTCAAGGATTTAATCAAACTGCATGTGATTATGATGAAGTATTTGCACCGAGTCTAAAAGCAACAACCTTGAGAGTAGCTTTAGTGTGGGCAACTAAGAAAAACTATGTCATAAATCACTTAGATGTAGAAACTGCTTATCTGCATGCACCATTGCAGCACACTATATAGCTAAAGAAACCTGTAGGGATTAAGGATGATAAAACAAATAATGACTGTTGGAAGCTTAAAAAGAGTCTCTATGGATTAAAACAATCTGGTTACGAATGGAACCAATATATTGTTAAGGAGTTAAACAATATAGGGTTTAAAGCAGGTTTAGCTGATCCATGTTTATTTAAGAAAGAGACAAATGGAACATTGTCATTATTGTTGTTTACAGATGATATTGCCTTAATTACAAAAACTAATAATGAAGCTACTGAAATATTATTAGGTAAGAGGATAAAATTAAAGCAATTAGAGATAAAACAGTATCTAGGATTAATAATAAATAAAACAAATGGTGGCTATAAGATATCTCAAGAGGATAAGATTTATCAATTACTAAAAACATATAAGATGGAACTTTGTAAGCTGGCAAAAACTCCAATGGGTAAGGAATTTGGCCACACTGATGCTCAAAGTTCAAAATTCGATAAGACTAACTATCAGTTGCTAATTGGTAGTTTATTGTACATTAGTAATTGGTCAAGGCCAGATATTGCCTATAGCATTAATCAATTGGCACATTCCATGCTGAACCTATGAACGACACTGGCAAGCGACAAAACGTATCTTAAGATATCTTAAAAGGACAATGCACTATGCATTGTATTTGGAGCCAAAAGATGATTTGATTTTAAGTGCATATGCTGATGCAAGTTTTGCAACAGACATAAACACTAGGAAATCAACTTCAGGAATGGCTATACTGTTAGGAAAAGCATTGATTGGTTGGAGGTCAATTAGACAGCAACACATAAGTATGTCCACAATGGAAGCAGAATTTTCATGTCTATCTTTATTATGTACTAATTTAATTCTGTATAAACAGTTGTTGTTGGATATGGGAATAACTGTTAATGATTCCATTGTAGTGTATGAGGACAATCAAGCAGCCATACGGATGGCTACAAATATTGCTGTGAAAATGAGATCTAAGCATACAGATCTTAGATATCTGAATGTAAGACAATCTGTAAAAAATGGTTTAATAAGACTGGAATATTGTATGACTGAACAAAATATTGCTGATCAGTTTACTAAAGCCCAAGGTCCAGTCAAACACAAAGAAAGTTGTGATGACTATGGGTTAAGGTTGTAAATAGATATATATATATATATTATTATATTACCCCAAAGGGGAGAATGTTAGGAATAACATAGGTTACCTAACGTAGTTTGGGTAAAATATATATAAACTATGATTGTAAGTTTAAGTGTGTGTCACTTTAAACTGCAAAGCATGTAATTTTGGGTGCGGTGTGAAACCGCCATAAGAGGGAGGCAGAGAACCTGATGATTGCTGACTATACTGGATTGATGGTTGGTTAACTGCATGTTCCCTGCTGCTGAAGGAAGAAAAGAGGTTTGACTTCTTCATATCTCTACTGCGAGGAGATATATTACTGGACTGATATTTGTAAGTTTACTGATCTCTTTTTCGACACTGGACTTTGCAACTGTATAATCCCCGGACGGACTGAACTAGTGAATGATATATGGACTGTTTTTTTGACTATGCTATAACTCTTACTGGAATAAACTATTTGACTAGCACAGTGTATCGGTTTTACTGAGTGTAAGCTACAAAAACGTTTATCTCACATATTTTGCCTGCCTGCCTGCCTGACTGCCGTGCAGATTCTGCTAGGGTGTATCCCTAACAGTAAGCCATAATCATCTCAATTATGACACATCACGACCTGAACTATCTTGCTTTGCATGTGATGAGTCTATCATATTAGTTTCACCTTTTAAGTTGCATTACTGAAATAAATGAACTTTTGCACGATATTCTAATTTTTCAAGTTTCACCTGTATACTTGGAAAGAACATTCTTTGAATGGCGTTCTCCCTTAGGCTGAGTCCTCATGTGCAGGAAACTGCTTGGCTGGGAAGATGTAAAATAAGTACAACACATGTGGCTTAAATTTAGAATGCAAACCATAGTATTTGCCTGCCTGGTGGAAGTTTGGTTGAGTTTTTCTCTTCAAGTCAACAGTAATTAATAAAATAACCTAATGAAATGGATTTAGACTTAAAGCTAACAGCACTGAAATCTTTCTACAAGATGCCTGTTTAGTTAACTTATAAGGGAAATGGCTAGAGAATGTGACTGGGTTATTTTTGACTATGCATTCTTGACAAGTTCTTGAGAAGTATACTGTTTTCTTGGAACATTCATCAATTGGAACTTGAGTAGCTTTTAACTTTGAAGCACTCTAGCAATTGGAAATAAACTCACTATCTTTGAGTGTATGTGGCTTCCTGCTAATTTTTTCAGAATGTTTGGGAGTGAATAATTTTTTAAAATAGGTGTTTTTAATTCTATAGACTTGCTTAGAGTTGGAGCGATATCTTCAGAGTGAGCCCTGCTACATGTCTGCCTCTGAGATAAAATTTGACAATCAGGATGATTTGTGGACCAAAATTATTTTGGCACGAGAGAAAAAAGAGGAATCTGAACTAAAGACTCCAAAGGAGGACATCTTTAGCGAATCTTCAGACAGTTCTGAGGAACTTTCTCCTACAACAAAATTTACCTCTGCTCTCATAAGTGATGTCTTAGGCTTAGCCAATGCTGGAAACTTGAGTTCATCTGTCACATCTACTCCTCCTCCTTCCCCTGAGTTGGGCAAGGAACCAAGTTCTCAACCATGGAATTGTGCCCCCAGTGAATTGCATTCACCTGGCAAAATCCGTACTGGTGGAAAGACTGTGGAAAAGGGTATCCTGGCCAGTGGAGATGCCTCTCCTGATGGGAGGAGGTGGGTTCATCGATGTCACTTCAATGGGTGCCAGAAGGTTTATACCAAAAGTTCACATCTGAAAGCACATGAGCGTACCCATACGGGTGAGTATTTGCATGGTGTCTAGAATCGATCAATATATTTTGCCTTGTGTGTACTGTATCTATTGACCTTAGAGTCTCTTATACAGTAAATGAGAGAGTATTTGGTTACTGTATATGTAGAATTTCCATAACTCATGGTTTCATGACTCTTGACCAGGAAAAATCTAGGTCAGGAACTGAATGGATGGTGTAGCTAGAAGGCCCCAATGGAAGTGTTACAACTTCCATTGTGTAGAAAGGCAGGAGTTGAATGTAAGAATTGTGAGGTGTGGCTCAAAAGATCACGATTCAAAGTTGATTCAAGGAAAAAGGTTTTATTGAATACACATCTGCAGAGGTGGGTTCCACCCTTGGCAGCTGGGAGGAACACAAAGCATAGCATTTGCTCTATTCTTATACCCTAAACTACCGCCCCATTATGCAAATGGCTTGTTTTACAATCTACCTTTCAGAATACAGGTTACAATTCATTACCTTATACGGTGCATAGCACGCAGCAAGCACTTCCCTAACACGAGGGCATACATCAACATATCATGCACGGTGGGGCTCAGTTCAACCATTCAATTGGTACCTGGCACTTCAAAGACATTCCAGGATAGTTCAACAGTTCAACATTCCAGGATAGTTCAATCGGTACCTGGTACCTCCCTACCTCAAAGACATTCCTTTCAACATGAGGTTTGAGTCATAAAAATGGATACTTTAATCTAACACTTCTCACAGAATGGAACTTCATTTATTCCCGGTTGCTACTTCCTTTGCAGTCCACTTGCTCTTAATAGTTTTTTCTGTGTCCTGCACCTTTAAAATGTGGTTTGCTAGTGGTTGTTCCCATTTTCTTGGACTTTTCACATTCTACTCCAGCTGTTCGCTGGTTCATAGTACATGGTGTAATCATTCTCTCTCCTCACACTCTTGCTTTTCATGGTCAGCAAAACTGCATGCACCAAAATACTATAAGGATCTTTTGTTCAGTTTCCCAAAAAATACTATTGTTTAGATCAGGGGTGTCAAACTCGATTTCATTGAGGGCCGCATCAGGGTTGTGTTTGACCTTGGAGGGTGGGGGTGGGCATGACATGGGACTTGTGTCAGGGTGGGGGACCTGTAATAGCCAAGTGCTAAGGCAGGACTTTTGTCAGACTTTACCTCACTCTCATTATACACTTCTTCCTTCCTTTTCTTCTTTTTCCTTCCCTCTTCATTCTAATTTCTTCTTCCTTCTACTCTTTCCTTATTTTTCCTTCATTACTCTCTTCCTATCTTTTCTTCTTTTTCTTTGTCTTTCTCCTTTCCTGCCCTTTCTTGCATGCCCAAATGCAAAAGGGGAAACATTTCTCCTTTTGTTTTTAGTTTTGATAGCCATCTGGCAGCCAAAATGGGGGGTGGGGTCTATGCTAGTCGGTTTGAAATAAGAATGAAACCATCAGGAAAAGTCAGCTTGCTCACAGTTTGGTTCTTTCCTCAAGAAAAGAGTTAGTAGAAGTCAACTCCATTGATGAGCAGGGATACAGAAAGCAAGTGTGGCAATTTGACTTTAGTTGAATTATGTGTGTAAAAGCTGGGGAGGAAGATAATGAGCTTAGTAATATGACAAGCAGCTTCAAGGATGAGGGTGCAAGTTCAGAAAGTAGTCATAAAGACCTCAAGGGGAAAAAAAATCATGGCCTGTTTGGGTTGACGTTAGTTGAAAAAGTAGATTGGGACCACCAAATACACAGAGAGAGACACAGAGAGAGTGAGAGAGTGAGTGAGAGAGAGAGTGAAAGAGAAAGAGGCAGAATCCAAGTCCACATAGGACTCCAGAAACCTCAGCCAAGCCACCAGTCACTTTTCTGTAACAAGTAGAATGTCTAATTACCTCTCTGGGGAATATAAACCAGAAACGGGGTTGGGGAATATGATTTTCTGAATAGTCTCAGAAAGAAGAGAAAAAGTGAGTTGAGAAGCAAGTCAAGAAAAGCTGACTCTGGAACAACAAAGCAAATTGCAAGGACTTCTTGAGCAAAAGTCATAGCAGGAGGATGCAGAGGAAACCCCAGAGGAAAAAAGAAAAGGAGACTCAGCCCAGAAAAGGCAGCCAAGAGAACTGCCCAAGCAAGGAAAGAAACCTTTCTGGCTATAGGAAAAAATGACAGGTTCAAACTAGAAAATGCAGTGAAAAGTTGGGGTTAGAAAAAGGCTGAATGAGAGAAAGGAAATAAATGCTAAGGAGAAGATCATCTTGCCTTGACTAGTTGTAGGCAAATTTATGATAGACTAAAGCTGCCTAAAGTTCAGTCTCAAGGATCCTTTCTGTTGTCCTCTCTGCCACAAAATCAAAAGTCTTCCAATCCTCTCCATGAGTGTTGGTTAAGCAAAATTAGGCATCAAAATTTCCCAATTCAGAAACCTTTTGAACCTGCCATTGCAAAGAATTATATCGTGCCCAATTTCACTGCCTTAAGAAATTGACCCTGGAAGAATGATTTCCTTGCAACTGGAGTTTGTTATGCAGTCCACAGTTTCTTTTTTAACTGCTTTTCTCATTCCTATGCCATCCATATTTCTTCTGTGACAATGTGTCTCCCTGCTCCTTATATTTGGACTCTGCTGTCTTTGGCCACCTCCTTTTTTGAAAAAATGCTTTCCTGACCAATTCTTTTTCTTCTGATTCCTGCCTGTGTTCCCAACTATTTTCTTTCCCAACTATTTTCCTGCACCACCCTGGCAGCCAAAAAGGGGATGTGCGGAGGTTACCCACACACCCCTGCACCCCGAATGAGATCTTATCCCGCGGAGCCCAAAACTGCTTAAGCGGGGACGAGAAGAACTTTGCACCAGCCAGCTGGCCGGGCAGGGAACAGGTCAGGTGGGGCTGGCTGATTGGGGAGTGGGGAATCATGGTGGCTCCTGCCTCGGCTGGCTGCCTCAGCTGAAGCATGGATCCTCCCCCCCCCCCCCCCCCCCCCCCCCAACAACCCCCAGTGTGGGGGCCCCCCCCCCCCCATCTCATGGCAGCGGCAGTTGTGACACTTCAGTGCCTGGCTGGCAGGGCGCCCAGGTAAGCCGGTGCAGGGTGTGGGGGGAAGCTCCACACACCCTTGCTTCATCCTCCACCCCCCACCTCCTCGCTTTGTGGCCACCACACCAGTGTCTTGCTCAGCCTCCTAGGTTACGGCGGCGAGCAAGGAGAAGTGGCGAAGATTGAAGTGAGGCTGGGTGGTGGTGGTGGAGGACGAAGCAAGGCAGGGGATGTGGAGTTGCCCCACCTGCCCTGGCTTCAGCCAGGCCAAACCCTCACCCTCCCCACCCCTGCCACCCAGCCACATCCCTTCACTAGCCTGCTTTCCAGCTCCATTCTCTGTCACCATGTGCAGGGCAAGTAAAGTAGTCTGGAACTATGGTAAAAAAATAGTTCAGACCTTCTAACTTCTCACACACAAAAAAAATCTTGTGAGGTTGGAAGGTCTAAACTATTTTAATTGCCCTGCACGTGGTGATGGAGAACTGGGCCCGCATGCACACCGTGATGGTGTGGGCCGGGCTGAAGTGCTGGACCGAAGCCCTGGGCCGAAGAGCTGGTCCCTTACAGTTTCCAGGATGGCCACGTGGGCTAGATTCAGTCTTATCGCGGGCCGGATTCGGCCTCATTGTGGGCCTTGAGTTTGACACCCCTGCTTTACATGGCCACTTGAAATTGGCTAGCTTCCTAACTGCCTCTAGCAAATAATTTTAAAGAAGACCTTGTTGCTTTAGTGTCTATTACACAATTTCTGGAGCAAGAATGTATGGCCATTAGATAATGCAATGCCAGCTAAGGTTTCCCAGAATGCTAGGCCTCGCTTCCTCATTCTTTTTCCATAAGCCCCATGCAAATTTGTATCTAAGCTGGGTGGTTTATTTGTGCATGGCTGGTTTCTGTTACTTAAATTATCCCATGCCTGAGAAGGTAAACACTTGATCTTTTCTAAAAGGGAAAAATCTCTAGTAAAAAACAAGGAGGCAAAGCTGAAATTGGATAACAATTTCTTGTTTCAAAGGTGCTTTTTCAAAAGGCAACTGGACTTTGTTTTTCCTTGTAGACATTTTGCTTTTCATCCAAGAAGCTTGAAGAAACTTCTTGGATGGGAAGGGAAACGTAAAAACAGCTGCAATCGTAAAAATGGCTGCAATTATGGTTTAGTCCAGGGGTTGGCAACCTGTAGCTCTGCAGTTGCATGTGGCTCTTTCAGCCCTCTACTGCAGCTCTTGATGCCACTGCTGTTGCCGTCTCCATGGCCTGCCCACTGCTCTTGCAGCGCCTTGCACAGCACAGTGAAATTTAGCTTGCTTCACAATGGGGGAGACGGGGTCCCCTCCTCCTGGAGCCCATTCCGACATGAAACCACAATGCAACCCTGCCCCACTTGCCCCTAGCAACAGCAGTGTCGGCGTTTGCTCACTCTCGCCTCCTGGATGTCAGTTGCTTTTCCTCCAGAGCCGGCAGGCCGCTGGTGTTGTGATGCCCCGCCTCTCTGCCAACCAGCTGATCATCAGCACACTGCTCATCAGCCTCCGGGTGTCAAACCCAGCGCGGGTCAGGCCAGTGTCTCAGGGCGGAGAGCAGGTTGTGTATCACCAACAAAGGCCAGAAGTAGCCACCTGCCATTTTCTGCTGCAGTCTGTCTGGCAGTGAGAGGGAGAGAGAGGTGAACAACACACCTGTGGCAGGGTGTGGCAAGAGGTGGCTGGGAGGGGAGGGGTGAGGTGGGGCTGGGCGGGGCAAATCATTTAACAACCAGTTCTCTGCCCTAATGACTGGCTGGGTAGGTGTGGCTGGGGGGGTGTCATGTGACTGGGTGGAAGTGAGTGACATTAAGTTGGCCACACCCACCCAGTCACACTGGTTGTTAAATTATTGCCTTTTGATGTTTTCTGTGGGGAACGGGTCCAAATGGCTCTTTGAATGTTTAAGGTTGCAGACCCCTGGTTTAGTCAGTAAACCCTAATTAAATAGCAATAGCACTTAGACTTACATACCACCCCATCATGCTTTACAGCATACTCTGGGCAGTTTACAATGTCAGTATATTACCCCCATCAATCTGGGTCCTCATTTTACTGTTTGATTAATTCTGGTTCACTTATGGTATTTGCGCTGTATTTTTACCCTTTTGCATGCATAAATACATCAAATACACCTTGAAATACTGTATGATAGTTGATTTATGACCATTTGATTGTTGTGCATTTCAATTTATGCTAACCCTGCAGAGTTTTATCCTGGTGAAACTGATATGTCAAAACACATTCCAGTTCCCCAGTGGAGCCTGAAAATATGTGGAGTGGAATCAGAGCTTGTATAATTTTTTATAGTGTATGAAGCTGCCACGGTTGCTTTTGACCATAAATATTCTTCTGCTTTTAATGACTTCGTGGTTAGATGCACCAAACCACTTAGAAATATGCACAGCAAAGCTGTACATTTTGAGAAAAGCTAAAAGAGTTCTTCCTTCTCATAAAGGCTGTTTTCACATTTTAAAGGGGAACTAGGAAAAAAAAATCTACTTCAGGGGTTGCCAACCTTTTGGACCACCAAACTGATAATTTTAAACCCCACAGACCACTAATATGAATTCTGACTGATGGTAGCTTGCTGACGTTGGTGGGAGAGAGAGAGAGATCCGATCTAACCTTGGAGGGCTGGCAGTGATGTTCTCTCTCTTTCTGTCTCTGTCTCTGTCTCTCTCTCACACACACACACAGACACTCTCCAAGGCAGCCACGTTCCTAACCTGCTTTTCAGCTCCATTCTCAGGTGGAGCGAGAGAGATGGTATTCTGTGATCCCAAATAAAGTTCTATCGGTAGGAATAAAGATTGATCAGTAGGAAAATGGGGTTTTCCTACTGATCGATCGTTCTTTATTTGGGATCGCAGGATACCGTTTCCAGCTTCGTTCTCGGGGAGAGAGAGAGCAGGAGACTTTTGGCTTCATGCAGCAGAAGTCTTTCTTTCTCTCCCCCAAACTCTGCCAGAAATGAGTCTTTGCCAGAGCAGCCTCTTGGAGCAGGATGCCTTGCAGGGTCCCAATGACTCATTTCTGGCAGAGTTGGGGAAGAGACTTTTGCTGCTTTCCTTGAGTGCAGCCAAAAGTAGAAGAAGAAAGAAGCGAAAAGAAACAGCCCGGTGGCCAAGCGAGGTAAATGGGGCAAGTTCCCCCCCCATTACCTCGTGTTATTCGCAATGCAAGCGATGCAAGCCTTGTGTTCCCATGGGCCATGTGGGTGGTGCAGCCTTGTGTTCCCGCGCAGCCTGGATTAATTGCTTTGGGGGTGACATTTCTCTGCGGACCACCAGTGGGCCATGGCCCACTGGTTGGCAACCACCATTCTACTTTACCAATTAACCCTTGGGTAAATAAAGGAAAGACAATGGATAAACATTGTGATATAAAATTGAAAGTTAATACATGTAGCTCTCAGGAAAAGACGAACCAACCTTTACCCAGGACCAATGACTAGAAATGTGGTTGGGGAAAAAATGCTGGCCTGTCACTTCAGAGCTAATATTAAACTCAATGTGCTACTGAAGATGATTTTATTCTTTGTTTTTCTTTTCCACCCACCATTCAGCTCATGTATTCTTTAAAGTTTACCAAATATTTACAGAGAGAAACAAAATAATGCAGGAAACCTAACTTGTAGGATAGTGTTTACAGACCTCTTATGAAAAGGAAGCTTCTCGAATCGAGATGGAATTTTTTTTCAATTCAGAATAGAGCTAGAAGGGCCTAGTCCAGGCCCCTGCTCAAGCAGGAGATCCTATACCAGTGGTGGCTAACCTTTTTGGGCTCCTGTGCCAAAAATTGTGAGCGCGCCAGCACGCCCGTACTCTCATGCCAGCACCCAGAATGCAATGTGCACCCCCCTCATGCCCCCTGCGCATGCCTGCACAATCCCCACCCCCTTACCTGCACCTCACAGCTGATTTTTCCTGGTATTACAGGAAGTGACGAAACAGGACTATAATTTGGCCTGAGAAGCCTTGCAGAGGCTTTTTCCAAGCCTCTGGGATGCCAAAAAAGGCCTCAAACCAACTGGAAAAAAAATTAGCTGTGAGGCGCAGGCATGCACAGTGAGGTTAGTTTGCCTGCAGCTTGCGGGCCAGCACAAATGACTCTGTGTGTCACTTGTGGCACATGTGCCATAGGTTCACCATCACGGTCCTATACCATTTCAGACTGACTGACCAGTCTCTTTCTTAAAAACCTCCAGTGTTGAAGCACCCACAGCTTCCGAAAGCAAGCTGTTCCACTAATTCATTGTCTCACTGTTAGGAAGTTTCTCCTTAATTACAGGTTGCTTCTCTCCTTGATTAGTTTCCACCCATTGTTTCTTGTCCTGCCCTCTGGTGCTTTGGAAAATAAGTTGACCCCCTCCTCTTTGTGGCAGCCTCTCAAATACTGGAATACTGCTATCATGTCATCCCTAGTCCTCCTTTTCTTTAGACTGGCCATACCCAAATCCTGCAACCATTATTCATATATTTTAGTCTCTAGGCCTTTAATCATCTTAGTTGTTCCTCTTTGCACTTTTTCAGGCCTAATTTTTTAAAAATCATTTTCAGAATCCTTACTATTCAGAACATTTCAGAAAGTTTAGATTACTGGAATCTTTTTGTCAGGATATGATGCTTTGCTGTTAGAGCAAAGCTCTGCAAGCTCCAAATCAAATTTTCCACCAGCATTCTTGGAAGTACTTAGTGGGCTGTAATAAATTAGTATGAACAGCTTTGTTTCCTATTTTGGGTGTGTGTGTTTTTTTTTTTAAAAAAAGCGTAGTGACTCAATATTCCTCTTTGGGGAATTATCTAGCTGGATAATGATGATTGAAAATGGTGTTTTGTATTTTTGCAGGAGAAAAGCCTTACAGATGTTCATGGGAAGGATGTGAGTGGTGTTTTGCAAGGAGTGATGAGCTAACCAGGCATTTTAGAAAGCACACTGGTGCAAAGCCCTTTAAATGTAGTCATTGTGACAGGTATGTGGATGGAATCTTGTTTTATATCATTTTATTCCCCAGTGCTTAAAAAGAAGCAAATTGCATGTACCTCCATTGACAAGCAATAGTGTAATATTGTCTTAAACATAAAAGGGGCCTCTTTATTCAGGAGAAAAATTTGGACCTCCATTTTGTGAAGTTCTGTTCTTACAGATTTTCACTTGGATATTGAAAAAGGTATGCAAAATATTTGGTGGTCAAACACCCCAAATTTGAAATGTCCTGTTTTGACCTTACCAGAAGTGTTTCAACACTGTTCCAACTTTCCTGGAAGCGTTTCAGCTTTGCAGTGAAGTTGGAACATTTGTATTTAAAGTAATTTCTGCATAGTTTCTGGATAAATAAAAGGGCAACTTTCTAACTGATCAAGAAAATGGTAGAACAAATTGATAGGAGGCATCTGGGATTTCTGGAGGAGAGGTTAAATTCTCCTCAGAGCTGCTCATAGCATCCAGTAGTGTTTTGGGAGGTGCTTCAGTCTCTGCATTCATAGGCTGAGCTTGAATTGAGGAACGGTCCTCCTCCTCCACGTGACTCCTCCACAGTGTTCCCCAGTTTTTGCTCAGCCTCGTGCGAGACAGGCAGTGCATTGACTAGCTCCTTGGCCGAATCAGGATTTTTCTTCTAATAAAAGTCAATTCCATTCATTACCAGGTTGGAATTATTCTTATCTCTTAGCCCTGCGCAACTGTGTAACTGGGACCTTTATCCTCCCAAGGGAAGCGCATTTGTGCCCCCAGAGGGAGGCAAATAGGAGGTCCAGAGGTGCCTTCGCACCACCTCCCATAGCATAAATATCCTTCCCTGCCTTTTTCTTCTGTGCCGTTTATTTGCGGTTTGAATTGCTTTCTTTTTGAGTCATTTTGTTAATTCCCCCCCCCCAACACCGCTCCAGTGGGGAAGGACGGATCTTTCCCTTCCCTGCCCCTCTCAACCTTTAAAGCTTCGGCTCGCCCCTTGGGAGGGAAATTCGCCGCTGAGAGACCCGAAGATCGTTCGCTCTTTTGGCAGCCGCCATTTTGAGAGCCTCCTCGTGGCCGGACGCCATTTTGTTTTTTTGCTATCTTGCTGTGAGTGTAATTGGCTCGAGGATACAGGACCCGTAGACCTGTTTCAGAGCCATTCAAACTCATTTAGCCTTCTAGCACTGGGTTTGATTCCTCAGTTTGAGAATTGTTGGCCTTATCCCACAGCTTCTCAGTGGCGCAGTAGCAGCAGCAGCAACCACCCAGTTCTGCCTGGGCAGAAGGCTGCTAAGGCCCTAGTTTCTCCTTTTATCTCCGAGCCATAGGCGTTCAAATTCGGCTGATTGGACTATTTGTTTAATTTTTTCTTTGGCATCAGGCTTCTGTTATTATTGGACCAACGGTTCAATTTTGTGTTGCAAAGATAACTATTTTATCACCCTTCTGAACAATTTTTAGGGTGCTACAACTCAATTTCTCATACATATATATTCGTGTGTGTGTGTGTGTGTGTGTGTGTGTGTGTGTGTTGTGACTGGAAGGATCGATCCTGCTGGGAGTTTTGACTCTGATGACTCTGAAGATGGAAGGTTGGAGCCTGCTGTGAATGTGGAGTCTGAATTATCAGAGGACACAGACGTGAGCCAGGAGGATGAGAGATTGTCGCAGAGACAATCCTCCCCAGAACCTTCGACTTCGTTCATGCCAGCAAATGATCAACAAAACGAGACAGAAGTTTCCAGCGAGGAAACTGACAGATCATGGATTGACGCCAGAACTAGGAGAACCAGGAAACGTCAATCTGAAGGGAGGTGTCAGGCCAGACATTGATTGGAGAGACTGACATGCCTATCCAGGTTATTTAAAGAGGCGTGCTGACTCTCAAACTTTGCTTGGAAGCAAAGTGTTTGATGAGTCGAAAGAATACATTTGAAGTGGCCTTGTGATTTATGGACAATTCTGATTAGCCTGACAGGTTCCGGGAAGTCTGCCAAGGACTGGAAAACAGTGCTATTAACCCTTTTTGAATCCGGTTTTGTTTTTGCTTGAATATTTTGAATTCTGAAACCTTGTCTTCTCATCTATGAATATAGGTGAGACATAACATATATATACATATGATGAACACTATACAGAAGCCTGATGATGGCAGATGAGATTCTGCTGAAACGTTGCTACAACTTTAAAAGCACGACTACAATGACGTGGGAAAATACCCGAACAAAGCTGAATGCCATATGCATGCATGCATGCATGCATACATACATACATACATACATATATACATATACATATACATATACATACACACACACACACACACACACACACACACACACACAAGGATCGATCCTGCTGGGAGTTTTGACTCACACACACAAAAAAGGAAAAGAAACAGGGGGACATGAAATAATTATCAGGGCACCCGGTCTTCCCGCAGATCGGCCCCTGGGTGTGCCAACCGCCTCAATCTTGATTCCTAATATATCATACAGTATTCATATTACTCATTGAAATGGCGGATGGTAGCGCTTCCAGAGGACCTTCTTTGAAGGCAAAATCCAAAACCCATCACTTGCGCAGACAGGCTAAGGAGACCTCCAAAGCCTCCCAGAGAGATGCCTTGAGACGCCACAAGGCCCTGGAAAAAGAGATTGATAGACTCACCAAAGAGGCTCTTACAGTGCCTCCGGTCCTCCCGCCTTCTACTCCCTCTACTTCTGCTCACCCCCCGCTCCTCTAGACTTTCCCTCCTTATCCAGGCGCAGCTCGCCCCTGCAAGAACAACAGGCTCTGATCCCTGGAACACCGGCTAGAAGGGCCTCTGAAGCCACCTTCACCCCTACAGCAGCCGGCCTCCGTCAAGAGGACTCACTCATAGACGAGGTTCCAGAGCGAGTAAGATCCTGGATGGAGCTGGCTATCCGCCAAGGGATTGCAGCTGGACTCCAGCAAATAGCCAGGCCTGGTCACTACCCGACGGTTTCTGACCACGAGGCTCAATCTGTAAGATCCTTGCCCAGAGCGGACCAACTCCATGGCCAGGTACACTTGCAGAAGGATATCCCCTTTACAGAAAGGGAGGAGGAAGAGAAACTGGACCTGATCAGGGAAGATGAAGAGTTTGAGTTGGGGTCCATGCAGTATAGCGAACCCCTATCAGAGGCGGACCCTCTGGAAGGGGAGATGTCCGAGGACGAGGGGCTTACCCCTGACCAGCCCGCCTTCGTGGGCCTGTTCAAGCCACATTTATTTAAGTCCCTACTATTCAAGGCCAAGAATATCTCGGGCCTAATCACGCAGTCACCCTCTGACCCCCCTCCTACAGCTTCGGAGGGCCCAGATGACTCCATCTTTAAACAGCCCATGGTGGAGGCCGAGGTTATCCCTACCCCACCCATTTTCTCCGACCTGGTGTTAAAACAGCTGGCCTCTGCAGCTGCACCTCCAGCCCCGTCTGGCCATGATAAAAGGTTTTTCAATTTGGACCCAGAATTCTCTAAATTACTGGTTACCCCTGAGGTTGACGAGCCCATCGTGGGCCTAGCCACCTCCTCGACCCTGAGTGATGCACTGGAGGCCCTGAAACCGGAGGACAAGCGGGCCGAGCTAGACTTGTGCCGGGCACACCAATCGGATGCCTGGGCAATCAGATCAGCTATGGCCGCTTCCTTTTTCACTAGGTCATCAATTCGATGGCTCCATCAGCTCAAACAGCACGTCCCCTCATCCAATGTCAGGGCGCATCAGGACATTGCTAAGCTCACAGCCGCTGCAGAATTCTTTGCCAATGCCACATTTCACTCAGTCAAATTCTCCACAAGAGCAATCACATCACACATCACAGCCTGCCGTCTGCTCTGGCTAAGACATTGCCAAGCAGATATTAAAAACAAAGACAGATTGGCTTCCGCTCCCATTGTGGGAAACAAATTTTTTGGCCCGTCCCTGGACCCCTTATTGATGGAGACACGCAATAAGAAGAAATTTCTCCCCTCCCTTATGCGCAGGTCAGAATCCAGAACCTCACAGCCTTTTTGGAGAGGGTCCTTTCGGCCCTTCTACCAGGCTCCCTTCTCCACCAGGTACCAAAGGCCCCCAGCCTTCAGGTCGGGTCAACCCCTGGATCGTACCGATTCAGGAGACAGGAACAGAAGGGGCACCAATTACAAAAGGCCCTTTCAGGGATCAGGTAGCAGGCCTTTCTGGCATTCAAGATAGGCCAAGACACTCCCTTCCCATTGGCAGGCGCCTTAAATTCTTCGCCAGGCAATGGGATTCCTCTACCTCGGACGCCTGGGTCAGGGACACCATTAGATTCGGTCTTGCCCTTGAGTTCCGGTCCGCCCCCCCCCCCCCCCATTTCTTTATGGCATCCCCTCTGTCCAGAGACCGGAATAAATGTAATCTAATGGATTCCGCTATTCAGCAACTCCTTAATATAAGAGCCATCCAACCTGTTCCCACCGCACAACAAGGGTGGGGTTCTTACTCTCATCTGTTCGTAGTCCCAAAAAACTCGGGGGGGGGGGGTGGAGAGCGATATTGGGTTTAAAACGTCTTAACTGTTATCTGATATATCGCAAATTCAAAATGCACACATTGCAATCCATTCTCCTGGGAACCAGACAAGGGGACTGGCTCACATCCATAGACTTGACCGAGGCATACTTACATATCGCCATTCGGCCTTCCCATTCCAAATTTCTACGTTTCTGCTACAACAATCATCACTTTCAATACCTGGCCCTTCCTTTTGGATTAGCCTCTGCCCCCAGGACCTTTACCAAGGTCCTCGCAGCGCTAGCAGCCCGTCTCAGGAACCTTCCTGTGCGTCTCCAGTGTTACCTGGATGACATTCTCATCCTATCTCCCTCTGAACATCAAGCAGTGAAGGACACCCAGGTTACCCTAACTGCTCTCCAAGAACACGGCTTCCTTATAAACTGGAAAAAGAGCCAATTATCCCCATCCACTCGGATAACCCACTTGGGGACGGTGATTGACACACTGGAAGGGAAGGTTTTTCTGTCCTCGGACAGACTACTCAGTATCCAACAATCCGTCAGAGACATCAGGCGACGTAGGAGGGCAACCCTACTAGATTTGTCTAAATTATTAGGAAAATGATTTCGTGCATTTCCATTATTCCCTGGGCCCGTCTTCACTCCAGATCCCTCCAGTGGTTCCTGCTTCCGTACCAGAGATCTGGCAGAAGCAACTCAAAACACATGGTCAGGGTACCTCCAAGGGTCCTCACGTCCCTCCTCTGGTGGGACAAACCAGCCATCAACAAAGGCTGCTTCTTCAAGGAGCCCCAAAGGCTCACTATCACCACAGACGCCAGTCTATTTGGATGGGGCGCCCACTTTCGGTCACTCACATCCCAGGGCAGATGGTCTGCAACAGAGCAATCATGCAGCATAAACTGGCTGGAACTTCACGCCGTCCACCTGGCCCTCCACAGCTTCCTCCCCCAGGTACGTGGACAACACATTCTCATTTTAACAGACAATGTGACGGCCAAAGCCCACATAAACAAACGGGAGCACACAATCAATACGACTAATGAGGGACGCCGAGTGCCTTTGCCGTTGGGCGGAGAACAATCTCCTTTTCCATCAGGGCAGAGCACATCTCGGGAGTATCAAATACTCAAGCAGACTGGTTAAGTAGAGCCACCATAGACCAGTCGGAGTGGCGCCTCCACCCATCCCTGTTCAAGGAAGCAGCAAGAATATTCGGACAACCGGTGGTAGACTTATTTGCCTCCCCTCTCAATGCCCAGCTCCCGAGATTCTTCTCAAGGTACCCATCCCAGGGGGCGGAGAATTACAACACGCTACGCTGCCCCTGGCCCATGGGGCTCCTGTACACATTCCCCTCATTAGCACTGGTGCCCAGGGTTATCCAGAAGTTGCTACACGAGAGAGCAGAGCTACTCCTCGTGACTCCTTACTGGCCCAGATGGCCATGGTTTGCAGACCTCCGCAGTCTATCAGTGGCCCCTCCCTGGAGGATCCCACCAGACAGGATCTCACTTTCTCAAGGTCTCCTCCTGCATCCGGATCCTCAATGGCTCCAATTAGCCATCTGGAGGTTGAGCGGGAACGCCTGAAGAGAGAAAAGTTCTCTAGCAGGGTCATTGATACTATTCTAGCTGCTAGACGGCCCTCAACCATTCGAATTTACAACGCCACATGGGCCATTTTTTGTAAATGGTGTAACAAGTTCCAAATTAACCCAGTTTCTCCTTCTGTTGCCCAAATTTTAGACTTCCTTCAGGAGGGAGTCAGTAAGGGTCTGTCCCCTAGTACCTTGAAACGACAGGTAGCGGCTCTAACAACGGTTATTTCCTGTGAGGGTGTTGGTTCCCTTTCCCATCACCCCTGTATTTGGGCCTTTCTTAGAGGAGCCACTAATTTACACCCTCCAAGTGTGCATAGATACCCAACCTGGGACCTTAACAGAGTTCTTACTTCACTCACTAAACACCCCTTTGAACCCTTAAGGGAGTCAACTCTCCAGTTCCTAACATATAAGGTAGTTTTCCTTGTAGCTATTACATCCGCCCATCGGATATCGGAAATCGCAGCCTTATCCATTAGAAGGGACCTTTGCATATTTCATGCTGATCGGGTGGTCCTCTGGCCCGATCCCACCTTTTTGTCCAAGATCAATTCTGTTTTCCATAGGGCACAGGAACTCATCCTTCCAAATTTTTGTCCCAGGCCATCCCAGGAAAGGGAAAGACAATGGCACACGCTTGATGTGAGATGAGCTCTGCGAATCTACATCAAGCGCACAGAGCCATTAAGGAAATCGGAGGCCTTATTCCTCTCCTTTCAGCCCAAAATGCAGGGTCACAAAGTGTCACCGTCCACCATAGGCCGTTGGATAAGAGCAGCAATTGCTAGGTCATACCAGTCACAAGCTTTACAAGTGCCCAGAGGTATAACGGCACATTCCACCAGGAGTGCGGCAACCTTGGCAGCTTGGGCCACTCAGGCACCAATAACCGAAATCTGCTGGGCGGCGACTTGGGCATCCCCGTCACCTTTTATTAGACACTATAAAATCGATTTGTTTGCCTCAGCAGAGGCCTCCTTCGGTAGACGGGTTCTACAGCGGGTTCTTAGAGATCCCGAGGAGGTTCCAGACCAGACGGATTCCCTCCCATAGGACAGGCCCAGCTTTGGTATGTCCCACTACTGGATGTTCTGAGGAGAAGGGGCGTTGGTTCTTACCTGATATGCCCATTCTCTTTGAGCTGCGAAGAGCATCCAACCCCACCCAAATTTCACCGTCTGGTGGGGTCTCGTTTTGGCCAATGGACCATTAGGTAGTTAGGATGAGAGCACGGGTTTTTTTCCTCTCGTCTTCGCAAAACTGGGAAACGCTGTGGAGGAGTCACGTGGAGGAGGAGGAGCGTTCCTCAATTCAAGCTCAGCCTATGAATGCAGAGACTGAAGCACCTCCCAAAACACTACTGGATGCTCTTCGCAGCTCAAAGAGAACGGGCGTATCAGGTAAGAACCAACGCCCCTTCTCCTCAGAATTGTATATTAAGTCATGTATGAATGTTGCCACAAGTTTAATTAGATGGATTCAGTAACATTGAACACTTTTAAAAAGCTTCCATTTTTGCCACTGATCTTCTTTTATCCAGTCAGTAGACTGAGATGTGGAGAACCTGTAGTCTTTTAGATTGAATTGAACTACTTCTCACATCAGTCCTGTCATGATCTGGAGATAGAGGGTCAGAAATGTTATATAGTAGTGACTAATGTGCTGAATTTGAATAAGTTAAAAGTTGCTGATCAAATACAAGGTTGTAGGGATGACCTTTGGTGCATTCCTCTTTCCATGAGTTGTCACAGTGTTAACGTGCTGATCTAAGCTTCTTTTAGTAATAAAGGTAGATGTTTACTTGGCTGGTGACTGACAAGATCAGAATCACTGTTGAAGTGTCAACTCACTTGCAAACCTTTAGCTATAATGCAGTATCTTGCATTCCAGCCACATGACTGAGTGATCCTTCCAGTGTTTTGCACATTTAGCAGACAGTACCTCACTATGCTGGATTAATTGTAATGACAGTTATTCTGCCCATTGTGGCCATCTGTAATTAAGCATGGTGCATAGTTGAACTACAGTTGATAGCGTTTCACTTAGCATCAGATGTGAATGAGAAAAGTGAGTAATATTCCCATTTTACAAGAATGGCATGAAGGCGAAGAAATACAGGTAGTCCTTGACTTACCACCACAATGGAGCCCCAAATTTCTGTTGTTAAGTGAGACATTAAGTGAATTTTGCCCCATTTTACAACCTTTCTTGCTACAATTGTCTAGTGAATCACCACAGTCGGTAAGTTAGTAACATGATTGTTCAGTGAAGCTGGCTTCTCAATTGACTTTGCTTGGCAGAAGGTCACAAGAGGTAATCACATGACCTTGGGACACAGCAACGGTCATAAATATGAACTACTTGCCAAGCATCTGAATTTTGATCATATGATTATGAGGATGCTGCAAAGTTTGTAACTGTGAAAAAGGGTCATAAGTCACTTTTTTCAGTGCTGTTGTTACTTTGAACAGTCACTAAATGAACTGTTGTAAGTCAAGGGCTACCTGTAGCTGAAGAACCTTGTAGTCAAGTTGTCCAGCTGGAATTACTGTCTTTCTGAGCTATCTGCAAATTCGGAGTTTCACTAATTTGTCCTAAACCCAGCTCATTTCTTGATGCCTCACTGAAGATTTACCTTAAGTGTCTTTTTCTTGGTGGACAGGTGCTTCTCCAGGTCTGATCATCTGGCTCTTCACATGAAGAGGCATCTCTGAATGAATGGAGGCTTGAATCCTGTGGGCTAAGAGGCTTTGAGGTCAAGCTGGCCTCAGAAGAAGGGATATATATTCCAGCCAAAGTATGCTATTTTGCACCCTAATTCAGTGGCCTCCAGGCTGTCTCTTCCTTGGAAGGTCTTTAGAGGGTTAGACAAGACATGTAAGAAATAACTGCAGTGACCATATGGTGCAGGTCTCCAGAACCTTCCAAATGACTTCTGACACCTTCTGCAATGAGCGCACTTAGAGTGTTAATGATTGGATGACTGTTATGAATGAACTACTGGATGACTGTATGCTGAGGCACATTTTTTTTAAAGAAGAAAGAAACTGTCTTCTAACCATAAGAAAAGGTTGTCTGGGGGGATTTAAAAAAAAATCATTTTGGGGTGGTGGTGCATGTGAAGTATGTTATGTAAGATAGAAGGATACTCATCCTTTTGATGGGGAGGGGGAAATGGTGTCTGCACCTTTTTTATTTTTGGTTTCTGAAGGGGGAGATGGGAGGGAAGGAAAATCAGAACAGAGAAATGTCGGTATAGGCCCTATCCTGTGTGAAGGGAGCTTTTGGTGTGTGGTCCAGCTATTAAATGTGCAGTGTCTCCAGTAGCTTGTTTGACTTGCTACAGAGCTCATTTGTAATCCATTGTTTAAGCTGTGTACTTACCGTTTAACACAATTTATAACTTTTGTTTATTATAATACAAAGGTTATTGCATGGTTCTTTAATCAGGACTACTATTTTTCTTTCTCAATTCCAGTTCAAAGCTGCTACAATGCAATTGGTTTAATGTTACATACCAAACCCAAATAGTGTTTTTTTCCCTTGAATTATTTTTTACTTTTTCCTGTTGGGTGGATAAAACCACTGTAGGTTAGAAATGGATATTTTTTTTAAAAAAAAACTCATGCAACTGTTTCCCACACCAACTCCAACACCTACTTGCCTTGTCTTTTATTTATGCCTTGGGGGGGTCTAATTTCTGGTTTTCTACCTCTTAATGCACTGTTGACCTTAATAATGGTGCTTTATGCAAATTGAACTTCTCTTTTGGGGAGGTCTTATACAGGGGTATGAATGACGTATGCTTTATTAAGGCTCTCTTTTCACCTGACACTTGTACTGTAGCTAATGTAAATTATGAAGAGGTGGGAAGACCATCAGCTTCAGGGTGATCCTCAGCATTTTCATGTAGAGAAACCTCCATATAAACATCTGTACTGAAAATTTCATGGCATAATCCAACCAGTTCTAGCAAAGAACACATCCCTGGGTCCATCTTTTTACAAGGTTGATCTTGCATGACCTATCCCTTTCCTTCATCCCGCCTTCTTCCCATTCAAGAAATTAATGAAAACAAAACTAACAGTTCCTCCCCACTACCAAAAAAAATCCTGTACTCAGAATGCTGCATTTTGCTCGTGCATTTTTTTAGAAGTGCAAGTGTAACTACAAAAAAACCCCAGATTTGCTTAAAAGGCACAAATGTATATCCACACCTGTATATTTAGCTTCCCCTTAATTAAAATGGAAAGGAAACAAGAAAAATACAAAAAAGTAGAAATTATCAAGTGAGTATGATATCTATAATACGCGTTTATGTTTGTATAGTATCTGTAGCTGTGAGTGTATGTGCATGTATATTTGTGCATGGGTGTGTACTATATATAGATAATATTTTTAAGGATTGTATTGAGTTATTTGCTAGAAAGTGTTGTAGCCTGTGAGGAATCTTCCTGTTTTCCTGCATTTCATAGAGAAGAAGCAAGTAAAAGTCAGTTCTTTTTTTTAAATTTGTAAACCTGGAAGAGTTTGACAGAAACCTGAAATTTTTGGGGGGGTGGGGTGGGGGGGAAACTGGGACGACACAGGAACACTTCAATCTGTGCATAATTTTTGCAACAGAAGGCAGTTATTGATAGGCACTTTTTCAAAATTTCCCGGTGTTCAAATGAAGTGCACTGGAGCCATTTTGGGGGCAACAGCAGGACTTGAGTGATTAGGAAGACTTGTTGGTTTTCTTCCAATTCTTTTTGTTTAATGCAAGCCACTTGTCTACTTTTAAGGCAAAGGTGGTCCTTTTAGGAGCCCAGAGAAAGTTGGTCCCTTTTTCTTATGTTCACCCAGTAGCATGTTCATCCTTCTCCTTTGGCCTTTTGTTCTGTAGGTTTTGCTTTTTGCTGCATTGCACTTCCTCTCTCGCTACTTCATGCTTTCCTAGATGGTGATTAATGAGCTCTTCATCTCCCCACAAGGGCATTTAATTGGAACACCAAGATCTAAGTGTGGCCGCTGAGCCATTTCCACATCATATGGGAGCAGTCCATTGAGGGATAGTTAAAAATGGACACTTTCCACTAAGACTAAATAAATCCCAACTCATCTGTTTCTGTCCACTAAAGAGAAGGTGTAGAAATGTGCTCTTTGGTGGTGAATGAATACCTACAGGTATTTTTACCTTTTAGCCGAATTCACAAGGCAGTTTTGTGAGATGTTAGAAATAGTCATTCCCCAAACATTAATCCAATGTGTTTTCCAGGCTGCCTTCCATAAGAACATAGCTTACTTCTTGCTATTTGGGGCAGCTTCTTTCCTGAAAATGATGGTGAAAATTAATAGTCCTCTAACCATGTTCAAATTCAATTTATCCAAGGCTAAGGGATACATTTATCTGCATTGCATTTTGATTTTTATGTGCTTGAAAATGCACTTTTTAAGTTTAAAAATTACCCCAAGAAAACATCTATAGATTATGGAAGTCTAATAGATGTATGGCGCTTCATACACGCAGGGAACTTTTCTTTTTCACTGCCTTTGGAGATGCCATTTCATAGTCAAAAAATACTGTAGATCAGGAAATACCTGTCTGCAAGTATGAATTGAAATCCTCACCCTTTGATCAAGGAAATTCTGCAAGTTTTTCTGTTCCAGCATACGTATTAGAGAGGGTAAGATTGCAATGTTTTCTGCTTGACCATAATAAATTGCTATTTGACAAAAAAACCCCACCTTGCAGTAGTTAGAAATCAGTTTTGTAGTTAAATGAGTACATTTTGTTCAGGTGATAGCTGAGCCTCAGTCAAGCTAAAAGGAAAAGAAATGCTTGAAATTTCAGAAAAACAAATTCTATTCATAAAATTTCTTTTTATGTTTGTTTTTGGAAGCACCCTATTATCTAAAGAATCGCTTTGTAAGATTTTTGAAATTGTTTTTTTGCAGGATTGTTATATTTCTGTATGAATGTATTTTTATTGGAATACCATAAAAAATCTTATTAGCATACTTGGTCTTTCTTTGTTTTTCTTTATGTGCGATTGAATTGTGCAAGAATTTCAACTCTTTGGATTATTATCCTAGTTTGTTACAAATGTTAGAACTACTTAAGCTCTGAATACAATTGAAGATAAGACAGTGGTTTTCAAAGAACTTCAGCCAGAACTTCTAAATCAGGAAAAAGCTGATTCAGCTTTTAATTCTGCATTAACACTGCACATGGTGTAGCCAATCCAAGAAATATATAACAGTTCCTGAAACCCCATTATGATCATGGTTGGTTAGGAGAAAGGATTTCAGGATGTAATGTATTGTAACACAATCCAAACCACTGGAGGGTATATGTTTCAGGGCTATAGGACAGGGGTGGGATTCAAATTTAAGAACCAGTTCTGTGGGCATGGCCTAATTTGTGGGTGTGGCTTGGTCATGTGACTGGGTGGGTGTGGCTTGGTCACGTGACCGGCTGGGCATGGTTTGGTGATCACATAACCGGCTGGGTGAGGCCAACTCAACATCACTTCTTTGCCCTAATGACTAAGTATAAAAAAAAGATATACCAAAACAAAAGGTAGTTTATTATGTCATGTCTTTAATGCTTAAATAATAAAAAGGTACACAAAACTATATTGTTACATTTTAAAATATTAATCAAAAACTATTACATAACAAAACTTTACAAAAAAGAATAAAACTTACTTAAAGTATTGCCAAATTGCTTTTTTATTAGCATCCTCAGTTACAGTTTTCTTTTGTTTAACATGAGCATCATCAGCTGTGTGATGTGCCATAACCACTTCTTTACTATAAGAACAGGGTCCCATTCTTGCAGAGGTAAGCCAATTAGACTGATGGTCAGGAGGTTTGTAATATTGGAAACTGTAAGGTGACTTCTGCCCTCTGAACATATTATGTTCATCTGCGAGAAGCCCCTTTCCGCCTCTGCTGAACTGACTGCAATAGTTCTAATAATATCTCTAGCCTTTTTAATGCTGCAAGGAATTGTATATTTTTCTGAATCTTTTCATACATTTTCTATGAAATCACAATAATCATTAATATTGACTTCATAATTGAAAATTTCACCAAATGCAACCAATTGTTCTTCAGTTGCTCTCAATGGAACCACCACTTCTTCAGTGTTCCAATAATCTGGCTCCAAATAATTGAGAATTTTTAATTTATCAGTGTCTTTAAATTGGCAGCCTGTTTTTAAATGTTCGTAATCCATCAATCTTTTCTTCAAATTAGTTACAATGCTTTCTAAAAGTCTTTCATGAGGAAGTCCCATAAATAGATGATTTTGTACAAAATTTATATTTTTAAAGGTTTCTGAAGTAATTAATCCATCAACCTTTTTTTCATATGTACCCTTTCCTTTATAGGCATTTCAGATGATTAAATTGATCTTACCACACGTTTTTCAGCCTTTATGATGTCTACAGGTAAAATTCGAAAAATTAGAATATCGTGCAAAAGTTCATTTATTTCAGTAATGCAACTTAAAAGGTGAACCTAATATATGAGATAGACTCATTACATGCAAAGCAAGATAGTTCAAGCCGTGATGTGTCATAATTGAGATGATTATGGCTTACAGCTCATCATTGACACCCTCCATAAGGAGGGAAAGCCTCAAAAGGTAATTGCAAAAGAAGTTGGATGTTCCCAAAGTGCTGTATCAAAGCACATTAATAGAAAGTTATGTGGAAGGGAAAAGTGT